AGCAGGAATATAGTCTTTCTCTTTGAATATTGCAATACGGTGGCAGACTTATTTCCTGGGATCTAATTCAGAGACCATACTGACACTTAAATTAAGTATTAATTAATAAACTCTTATTGATGTTTTAAAATCTGATTTTAAGGTTGCTTTAGCTGTCTTTGTGTATGTTTAAAAAAAGAAAAAGAAAGAAAAATCTTTTTACAATGTTCATACCCAGTTCTGTAAAACATGCACACTTAGTACCTCTGTTCTGAGTTACTTTTCTATTTCTAATATCATGACTACTCATTTCCTGTGAGCATCCAAAAGTGATTTTTGAGGACAAGATGCAAATAGCCTGCAGCTGGCTATCATGTAATTAGAAACTGGAAGAGGTAATTTGTCTCTCAGTGGCAGGATGATATGCAGTGTGATGACTGGTTACCAATGTGACGTAATTTCTTAAATCAAGTTCAGCACAGAGTTGTTTTAGTTGTGTTTCCTTCAAAACTCACCTGCTTACTTCTGTAGCAGACTACAGTATATAGTGTCGAAATAGATATATACACACATTTTGGAGATAGGCTCTGACTGCTTTTCGGTGTTCCTTTGCTATGATCCCTGTCTAAATACCACAAGAAACACACATAATGGAAGCAGAAGTGCTTTATGCAGAAAAGCTGTTGGTATGTTAGAGCTGTTATTGTGCAGCCTCTTACCAGCCCTACTCAAAATGCAGCTTTGCTGGAATAAATTTTGTGTATAGCATGCTTGGGTCAGTATCAGAAACCTAGAGTTGCTCTTTGTTTGACGTACACCGTCGCTTTTTGAACCTTTTTGCTCAAATACTGTTCTGTGAATGTGAATGTACGCTTTTTGTCATAGGAAACCTGTTTGGTGTCTCTTGCAGTGTGTTGTCTGACATTTGCTTTAATACTGCAGGCTAGATTTTTAATGTAAAGGTTTTAATAATAGTATGCTGTATTTGTTAATTATCCTTTCACTGTATTTAAGGTATGAAAACCAAGAGAAAAGGCATCTTTCTAAAATGATGCATATCTGAGTAATTGCATAAAGACAATTACAGTTCTACACTATCTTGCTGTTTCTGTGGTTAGTGTCACTTAATTTTGCATTTAGACTTAAGATTTTATCAAGATAGAAGCCTTATGTGTATGCAATTGTTGTAGCTCGTTTCTAGTCTTCAATTTGCCCCACTTCTTATTTGTACCCTGTGTTTTAGGTGGTTATCACCATTATAACTGGTCTTCCAGGATGTCGTTGCAGCGATCTGTGCGCTTTTCTTGTAACTTTTAACAAGGAGCACGGAAGGTTTGTACAGTTCTGGTTTTACAGTCCAAAGCAGTGGTCATACTAATCACCACAGAAGTGTTCAGCATGAAGGAAATTAAACTATGTGTTTCATTTTATTTATTTTAATATGCCAGTTTCTAATTTGTAAACAGATGTGTTATAAGAATAAATTCAGTAAATATTATGAGGCACCTTAACTAGTTCTACAGATCACACCGTAGGGTAGGGTATGTTACTTCAGTTCTGTTAGTTCAGGTATCTCATCTAACTGTATTATGCTAGGTAGATTTGCCCTTAGAATTTAGACATTTAGACAAGGAAAATAGCACAGGAGATTTCTTTGTTGATGTTGCATATTAAGAGTACCACAGGTAACGCCGTAGATCTATGACGTGTGTCTGGAACTATCACTGATGCTGCAAAAAATTAAGAATAATCTCAGAAGGGCCAAATGAACCCTGCCTTAAGCAAGCATGAAGTTGACACAACTTGAAGGAAATGGGTGAAGAGCTTACATTTATTGAGTTGCGGTAGTGAGTCTAAAATGGATATTTTTCTTGTAGAAAAGACTATACCAACAGTCCTTGCTGCAGCATTGTTTTTAATCTGACCTGATTTCTATTCTACAATAGCAGGAGATATATTCAGGGCATCTATTGTATGGCAATAAGATAAATCTACTGTAAGAATTTGCTATTCAGTGTGTTGATATGGCTTCTGGAAAATAAAATGAAATTCTTATCCTTTTAAATCTTACAGCCAAACAACTTAGCATTTAATCTTAGTAATGTTCTGGACTGGGTTTTTTGTGTTACTTTTAACTCAGTGTCTTGCTATTAGCAAGTTGATTCAGAACACTTTTGTAGTTCTGTTTTTAGGGCAAACATGTAAGGTGACTTTTGAATGTTCTGTAATAATATATTTCATCATGTTTTCCTGCAAATGTCATTGTTACTTTTTATTTTTGCAATGAAATGTTTTCATGCCCAGAGTCTTTTGAATTGGATTCATATAATTTTTGTTTACTGCACCACTAACAAGGATCAGAATTACTCATATGATGTGCAGCTTTGAAGAAGCTGGTGTGCATTGTTTTATTAAAAAACAACAACAAAAAAACGCAAAACCTTTTGGCAGTAATGTAAAGAATGTGCTTATGCTGAAATGATAGAAAGCCAAGTAAATTCCTCTTTCCCATGTGGTATGAGAGATGTGGAATCTTAGGGCTTGTCAATTTTATTTTTTGGTCTGTTGGTTCAAAATAAAAAGAAAACAGAACTATTGTGTCACAGAACATTAACTTCTTTCCTTGTTTTCTGTTTAGGTGGATAGTTTATCGGCAAACTATGGATAGTCCTGAATGTTTCAGTGCAACCCACTTCCAGCGTTACCTCTCTAGTGTCGTGGAGGCTCAACAAAACCACAGCGTCCGTCAGTCCACTTACGCTAAGAAGAACAAGCGTCTCTTAGTGGTCTTGCAAGGGTAAATGTTGGAAACCATTTGAACTGTCGCGTAGAATAAGGAATTTTCTGTTCCCTTCCTATTTCCAAGGAATTTTTAAACTTTCCCATCACTCTGAAGCAGTCAAATTTCTGTGCTAGAGCGTGGTACTCTGAATTCTGTTTTACATATGTACTAAACTCAGCTTTTCTGCAACCTGTTAATTTTATTGCTTGTTACTCCATTGGAAAAAAGGTGTCTGTAGTCTTCCTTCAGTCATATGGAAGGAAGGACTGCATTTGGTTCTTCTTCCCTATTTAGAAGATTAACTGTGATTTTTGGCTTCTCAAAAGAAGTTTTCTTGTTCTTTCCAGCTGCATCTCAGACTGTTGTTAAATGGCATTTCATTTATTGGTGCAGCTGTGTGTGGTTTGCTTTTGGGGTGGTTCCCCCCCCCCCCCAGAGGTCTTGGAAGGAGAGATATTTGCCCTTCCAAGGCTGGTGAGACTTCTTCATGCTGGTTATCGGTCTTTAAAGACTTCAGCAGTACTGGTTGTGTCTTTAAAGGCATAGAAGCAGATGAGGGCAACAGAGCAGAGAGACCTTGAGATTGTGTTGCAACTCGCACTCCAGAGCTGCAGATGAATATTACTGAATATGACCTGGACTATCATAATATTTAGAGGGAATGTTGTGTGTTGTAGTCCTTGTTAGTACACAAATGAATTATTGCTACTTTTTTCCCCCAACAGACCTGTGTTTTGCTGATAACAAAACAAAAAAACATGGAATAAATGCACAACTCTTTACAGAATGTAGAAAAGCATGTTAGCTGAGTTCTCGCCCTACCTTTCATGTATAATTTTCCTTGAAAGTTTGCGAAAACATTGAAATTGTTTTGATGAAAAGATAGGGAGGTGCTCCACCCCCATTCTTTCAGAGGAAGATCCATTGTCTTTAAGGCATTAGATGACTGAGCACATTTTGGTAAATTTTAATTTGAGTTGCTTCAGAATAGAAATTAATTTTAGGAAGTGTGATATGCTGTGACATAAAGACTATAATTATATCTCTCAAGTGCTTTACAGTACCTTAAACTTTTGAAAGATCAGTGAGTGCTAGAAAGTCTTTAATAAATTCATAGTTTCCAGAATTAAATGGTCCATTCAGTTTGCAATATTTTTTCCTCCAAACAGAAACTTAAAAGCCTAAGCCACTGTGACTCTTACTGAATTTTTTAAGCAGAGAATCAGTGTGCTACAGTAAGCATAAGAACCAATCTTGGCTTTTTTGCAAGTATTTAGCATCTTTGTGTGCGTAGATGCTTGCTTTTTCTTTGCATTTCTGGTAGGCCTTGCTTTGATTCTTTGGCAGTATTGGCTACAAAAAAATGTGACACAAACTTTCAAAGTTCTGATTGATAAAAGATAAGATGAAAGAGAGGCAATATTGCGTACGAGTTGCTATCCAAATAAATATTTATGCAATTTATGCATATCACTTCTCATATGGTATGTTCCAATAACTACTTAAGCCAAGTAATAGACTGCCCTACCAAAGGCGATGCGATACTGGATCTGTTGGTCACCAACACAAGTGAGCTAATTGGTGATGTCAAGATTGGAGGCAGCCTGGGCTGCAATGTTCACGTACTCCTGGAGTTTGCAGTCCTGAGGGATGTGGGTCAGGCAAAAAGTCATGATCCTGAATTTTAGAAAAGCAAACTTCCAGCTGTTCGAGGAATTAGTCAATAGGACCTGCGGTAAACCACCCTCAGGGATGAGGGAGCAGAATAGAGCTGGCAGAGCTTTAAGAACTTTCATAGAATCCCAACAAGGTTTGGGTGGGAAAGGACCTCACAGCCCATCCAGTTCCAACCCCCTGCCATGGGCAGGGACACCCTCCACTAGCCCAGGTTGCCCAAAGCCCCATCCAACCTGGCCTTGAGCACTGCCAGGG